CCCCAAAACCCCAAAACCCCAAAACCCCACTCCTCTGCAGACATATTGAAAAATAAAATTTAAATTTAAGTTTTTATAATAATAAATGGAAAGTACTACTAAAGCTATTGAAGAAGAGAACACCCAGATAATCAGGTAACTGAGAGCTTAGTTTTAGAATACTTTAAATTTTCACTCTCAAATTTGTATCAAGTCCCAAAACTTTAAAGTTTAACCAAAAATTTCCAACTTTTATAATAATCTCACCGAAAATTTCTTGGCCGAGAAGTTCATAGCAAAACTAGAGAGAGTTTATAAGCCTTGCCTCTCTTAGATTAATTTGGGACCTCCACAGATAACATTTCTCCTAAAGCCTTAAACCTGGGAGTTCTCAAAATCTCAATTAGCACCCTTTCATCTCCAACTTTCTGACGGATTCTGACATTAACCTACCTCCCCGTCCGCCTCTAATTGTGTAGCCAGGAGAAGTCTGTCATGGCAGAAGCCAAGGAGCAAGAGGTCACCACATGCAAGAGCATCCTCTATAAGGTTCTTCCAGATTTAAAAGTTGAGCCATCGGATCCAAACTCCGCAGAAGTTTCAAGAAACAGTGGACTTGACATTGAGTTGAACAAAATCAGATATGAAAAACTTTTGAAAAGTTTGAAGTGTCTTAAGGTTTTTGATATAGATTGGCTTGGTTTGGATTATATTGCTTCTAAAAATAGGCGTTCTGTTTTAAATTTCTTACAATCCTCATTCCCAGATAAAATTAAGAGTCTCACTTTGTGGCCCAGTGGCCTAATGGATCTGAAAAGGTGCAACTACTTAAACTCCCTGACCAGACTCACCTCCAAATTCGTTCAAAGAGTTAACTTTGAACGTTTCAGCATCGGCCTGCCCCAACTCAAGAGGCTCGTGGCAGCTTTCAGACATGTGAGAATTTTGTGATTGCTAAATTGCAGGCTATCTATCCCAAGTGTTCCTGATTTGTCAAAGGCTCTGAAGGATTGCCAAATCCAGAAAATAGATTTAGAAGGATCAGGAGGCTCGGATTGAAGTGATTGGGAGAACAACTTCGACGAGTTCGTGAACTTGGTACAAGGGTTAGCAAGCTCTCCAGATTTAAGATTGAGTCTTGAAAAAGTAATTGTCTTTGACTGCGGAGTGACCAAAAATCAAGTTGAACAATTCTTTGAAGAAAACCTGCTTGGAGAAGTTAACATAATTGGTGGAGGATAACTTTTGGCTAAATTTCTTATTTTTACTACTTCGGCTTAAATCCTGCTTTCTCCATATTTGACACTTGGTTAGTTTTTAATATATTTCGGGGTTTGATCAAGCTGGGGTTTTGGGGTTTTGGGGTTTTGGGG